AAACTACAAAAAGAAATTTGTAATCATCCCCACAACATTATTTCAACTTTGAAATTTCTTTCATTGACTGTCAGTGTAGTTCCCTTTAACTGGCCTACTTATTTTCTGAGGTCATCTAGACCAATTTCAAGGTCTTGATATTTCTCTTTTGTTTTAATAATTTTTTTTTCTCAACTCATATTTTATTCATTTTCTTCAAAGGACATGTGCACATGACAGTAATACATAATGTACAGAAAAACGATCATTCATTCCAGTTTTCTAAACATGCATAGACATTTTATATTAATCAGCCACATTCATACTAGTTAGCCTATATATTCTTTGCTTACATAAGTTCACACCCCGATGATCATACATGTTTTAATGAAATTAAAGTGAAGTGAATATTCCATAATGTCATGTGTCATGTTATATGAAAGAAAAGAATAGAGACATACGCCGACAGTTACAAGTAGCAGACAGACAGACAAGACAAGACTAAACAAAAAAGACAAGATAGACAGACAGACAGAGGGAGGGAGATATTTAATTACATGAATTATACCAATAGGTGTTCACCTTCTTCTACTCCAGGACTTGATCAAAGATTTTAGCTTTATTAGTTTTTTGTCAAAATTTAATTTTGGAATTTCATGTAAATTAACACTATTAACCCCAAGAGAGTAAATTTGTCCCTACCCCACAGTAAGCCTAATTCAGGTAAAAAAGTGTCATTGCTATATTTTTTGTTCCCTATCCATATAACCTGAGTTTTGTTTGTGTTGATTTTTAATCCAGATATGTGGGCAAAACGATTTAGTTCTAACATATACATGACTCGAATATGCTATCGTTTTTCCCCTTATTTCCATTAAAAGAACTTCCAGAAATAACTGGTCATTAACAGTAAATTGTAAGTCAGCATTCGAAATTTCCAAAAGATTATCTAAGTTATGAACAGGTAAACAGTACTGCATTTTAACTTTATTAATAAGAGAATTTATAGTATTGAGATATTCTATATCTTGAAGCAATGAGTTATTAATTTTCCAAAGCCCCCTCCCTCTCTTAAACTTGTTGAATTCTATTTCAATTTTAGGAAAGGAGTGGTCTGATTTATATCCTGGGTCTATAAAAGAATTCTTAATAGTGGAAAGCAGATCTTCTGAAATAAGGAAAACATCTAGCCTGGCTTGTTTTACTGGGATGCTCCTTCTCCAGGTATATCTTCTACTATTCTCGTGCTGTTCTCAAAAAATATCAATGAGACCATAATTTTCAACAATTTGACATACCTTGTCCCTAGCTTTTGGGTTATTTATATTTTTATAGTTATTATCATAATCAACCTCTGGATTTTAACACTAAATTAAAATCACCACATAATACAATGAAATTGTTTTCAAAATCATCAATAGTATCGGAAATGATATTATAAAAGTTTGGGTTATCCTGGTTCGGACCATATATAGTAATAAGAGTCAGTCTTGTCCTTTCAATGGTAATATCCAGAGCTAAAAAATTTCCTGTGTTATCCCTCTTTTCTTTATGAACTTTAAACTCAAAATTGTTATTTATCAAAATAGCGACCTCCTTGCGTTAGATTTGTCAGAGTTAAAAAAATATTCCGTACCCCACTCACTTCTAAAAAGATGTTCTTTCTTCTGAGAAAAATGCGTGTCTTGGAAACAAAAAATATTATACAATTGATTTTTTAAATATGTGAAGATATCTTTTCTTTTGAGTCTATCACCTAGACCCTGACAATTAGCACTCAGAATAGTTATATCGTTAGTTTGTTTTAACAATAGCTAATGGGTAGTTACCCTGCACCGAAGCACTCTTGTTCTCATTGATAATGGTAAAAGTCACATTTACAACATGAACTTTCTTTCCCACATTAGTGCCATCCCTAGAAGTTCTTAATTCTGATGTCTCCATCTGGTGCAAAGTTTTTGTTCATATCTAATATATTACACATTTACCAAGTGTTTTTTCAGAGATTGTTGAACACCAAGACCATCTGGAGTAATTTCAATTATGAACTTAGAATTTAATTCAGCCACAATCTTACTGATAGCATAATTTCTTGGAAGTGCTTTAAATTACATACTAAATTCATGGTATGATTCATTACTAATATTTAAAGTACCGGTATCCAAGATGTATATGAAGGTATTTATGTCATCAACTTTTTGATTCAATTCTCGTGATCAAAAAGTTTCAAAACCTCTTCTTTATTATTTCTCATAACTGTAACTGAAATAGGAGTAACCCCATTTTCTGTCAGAAAACTCAATGCTATTCTACACTTATCTGTGTCTCGTTTCCTAAGTTTTGATTGATACCAAGGTGTACATTCTGTGAACTTACATAACATTTTTCATTGTTTTCTTTTTTCCTTTTCTTCTAACTGCCACTGACTGACTGCCTTTATTGTCTCAACCATTAACTGTGTCTCTTCCTTGTCAACCATGACATCCCAACTATATTTTGAAGACCCGAGTCCCTCCTTAAACTTCTTGAAATTTGTTCAACTGTTTTTAGATCTGAAGCTTTCTTCCAAAACTGATCTGATGATAAAATCTCGTACAAAATTTCTCTGGCACACTTAACGAAAGTAAACACTAGCTGTGTTCCTCTAGTATTTCAATAAGTTTTTAATTCCAGTTGATCATTAAGGTTGCTTCTTGATTTCATATTCTCTAAATCTCTGCCACTTTGAAATTATATTTAAGAGTATGAAGTCTTAACATAGCAATTGTCCCCTTCTGCATTCAACACACGGTAGTCCCAAATTTTGGTCAACATAAATCTGGATGAAATAGTATATGTGGTCCTAGATCTTGTCACTATGTGGACAATAGCAACATCTCTTAATATTTCAAAATTTTTTCAACTAATGGAATCCTTAGGCATAGGGAACTGTCAATCTTGGTACCAACAGTAAGGTGTTCTTTGATAAGGACACCTAGATCCTCCTGAGCTTGAGGGTTGTTTTAAGTTTCAATGAATGGTTCCAATTTATCTTCTATTAGTCGATCGTATTTTTTACTCCAACCTGTAACAGAATACAAAAATATTTGTATGATATAGAATTACAAAAATGTCTCTGCTACCTTATAATCAGCGGATCGCTATATATAGTGACTTGGGACAGAGCACAACGTGGTGGACAGATGGACATAGGTGCAACGCTTGATCCCCCTCCCTCTATTTAATGGCTAAGGCATCATAAAATCAAAATAAAACTAGCAAATTATAAATATGTACTTATATACTTATATTGTATATACAATTTAGAAGGAATTTACAAATTCATTCAATTCATTCGTTCAAAGTTCTGTCTAAAGATCTCAAAAAACACTGTTAAATATTTCATTGATATACACATCATATTTACCGAAAGTTATTCTCGGGGCTTTATATAGATATTGTTAATTCCGATTTAACTCTGACATAAGACAAGAGTTTCAACTGGAATTAATAAATCAATAATTTAATTTGACAGTTACCTATGAAATGGATTTTCATATAGCCATCGTTAGTTTCTGTGTCGTCTAATATCCGGACAGGAGTCCATGTAGACCTATCATCTGCCCCTTGTAGGTCCAGTATCAACAGAATTCAGCTCCCAGAAATCATAATAAATTAATTTCAATTCGACACTACCAGGTATATAATGATATATAGGTATAGGCTGGTTAGGGAAGAGATTGGGGTTATGTCGGGGAGATGGGATTGGGATGTCGGTTGTGGTTTGATTTATTAGGCGTAATGTCCTACAATTTTCACGCACAAATTTCTCTTGACACCGGATTGCAAAACTAATAACTCCTGTATCACTTCAGTCTAAAATCAGAATCTATTATTTTAACACTCACTTCAACTATAAGTTAACATTTATATAATACTCACTTATAAGAACCTACCGGGTCTCCAGTAGCCCCAGCTTTGCGATTTGTAATTCTCCGCCTTCGTGCTGTTGCCTTTTTTCTTTTCTCCCTCAGGATAACAAGGGCAGGTAACTCTAATGCGCTGTGCAAAATAAAGTTGATATGTGATCGTAAAGTGGTCATCCACTGTGAAATCCAGTATACGACAATGGCCATTATCAATGGCATGTATCTACTGTGAGATGACGTCGATAGGTGGTTCGGCCACACAACATGAACCACATTAAAATGTGTTGTGTCATGGTAACATCTAAGAATCGTGTTACATTTTCACAGTGTTTACTTGTCGAATGATAACTTGTCTTATCACTTACCAAGAAATTTTCGCCTTTCTTTCATTTTTGCATGTATTAAATTTCGTTGTAGAAAACAATACATTTTATTCAATGCTTTACAGTGAAACTACATAGTAAAACGCTCGCCTTATTTGACGAAAATGGCGGGTATTAAAGATTGACGGAAGTTTCTGGATATACAGTAATAATCAAACCACCAAGTTATAATTCCAGGAATTACATCAAATATGATGGAAGTAGAGGGTAGTAAGTAGTAAGATACAATAAGATATTTCCAGTCTTAATTTCTTTTTATAACTCTCAATAAGTGAAGAGCTTCCTGGCGTTTTCATACCATTCGATTATTTCTAGTCTTGTTTCGTTTCGTGTCAGATTTCTTTATTGTCAAGATATTGTAAAATACAAGTTGTATATTGGGCAATAGGCAAAGCCTATGAAATGCCTCTACTTTTTTGCACCAGTAACTTTAAGCGATTTGAAAGCGAACTAAGATGACAAACTTCCTCTAAATTTATGAACCCCGTTTTTACCGCCGACACTAATTTTTTTTTATTTCGTCATGAAAAGGCTTGGTTCCATTAAGCATATTGAAACATAATGTGTTATAATCGTTTACACAACTAGTACAGTCCACTTTGGCAAATATACATTTGCATACATGTAATTTCTATTTCGTTTCATACTATTATAAAATACCGTAAAAATTTGGTGGTGTGCTACCTAGACCGATACCGGAAGTAAACATTGACATGTGGGATTACGAGCAGACAGGCGGAATTTAGGATCTCATTGCAGAGTATTGTGTTTACTTACACATAGCAAGAGCAGATGGTGGAATATATCGTGATAGAAAATAAGTAGAGAAGTATACCCGATTTATCTAGGCACGTGAACAAGAACAAATTTATTTAACAAATGGCTGAGGAAGACAAAGTGAGTGGAGAGACCGACAACACAGAACCGTCATGTCCACGAGAGCTGATGAAAAGGTTCTATCACCTTCAGGAGGAGAGAATACAAACCTACCAGCTATTTGAAGAGTGTGTATTTAAATACATGTGTCACTGATCGTCTTTATTATCGTTATTATAATCTGACTACAACCGTGCATAAACAATTGCAGTTGTCTCCCTTTACCCAGCAAAGTAATTTTTTAAAGGTCGACAACTCTTGTAGGATCCATTCAATATTGTCATTTTATTCATGGGGCTATGCTGATCCGATATAATATGATCAAATCAGGAAAGATACTGAACTCGTGAAATACATTTTATGTTATAATATATATTATTTATAGCTTTATGACGTATCTAATTTAATGAATATGTCTATTTTCATCAATTACTTATTAATTAGAAGTCTTGCATGTATATAAATTTGGTTTAGTAGTACGGGCTCGGCATTTTTTTTTAATGAATATATGACAATTTGGTTTACCATTATTCAGCGAAATTCGATCAGAAAGTTCGGTTTAGATTTTGTTTTAGGATTTAATATCACTCAAACACAGAATTCTATGAACACTTGGTTGATGAACTATTTGCTACTTGCGTGACAGTGTATACTATCCATGTTTGATATAGACCGACTTTGGTCCTGCTATAGTTAATATCATTTCTACTACACTTGTGTGCATTTATGGATATTTTGATATGTTGTAGAGGATTCCAGGCCTACCTTAACGGATCACCAAACTATAACTTTAATTTATACAGACAACTAGTGCATGAAATCACAGAAACGTTCAACAAAATATCACAGGATATTATTTCCATCATCCACCGGATGGACACTGTCCACCAACGTGTCACACTGGCCAATCTGCTCCGCAAGGTCCAGGACGCTGAGCAGGTTAAACTAGAGAACGTAAGTTAGACATATCCGAGGCTATTTCATCATGTATGGTAAACAAGAAGTGATTTAGTAAAGTTATTTATTCTGTAGTTTTAGCAAGATTACTTTCAATTTGATTTTAAATTTTAATTATATACAGTTTTTCCTATGTTTTGAATTAATTTCAATTAGTAGCAGATTAGCTGTATGGAGGCGAAATATGAACTTCTAACTCTGTAACGAATATTTGTTTAGAGATTATTTCCAACTAGTAGCAAACACGGTAATCTTTCTCTCTCTCCCTTTCTCTCTCTCTCTCCCTCCAGTTTGTGTTTCTTTGCTTTGTTTTGACCAGTCGCCGAGTGACTTGTACAACACGACCTTACTGAAAATTATTGCTAGAGAGGGGGCGTGCATACCATACCCAGCAAATTAAAAGCACTACCTGGCCCCCGCCCTCAGCCTCCTAACACAAAATCTAGGGTTCGAACTACACACCTCGGATTTTCATCGCAGAATTCCGATTCTCTACCGACAGAGCTATCTTGACTCTGTACAGAACAGACAGGATATTATGTTAGAGTTTCATTCCTGGTTTCACACGGAAGAAATTATTTAACTATCACATCGTAACACGCAATATTCTTAGTATTGACATAGGTTATGCGTCATGGAGCTTTCAGTACTTCCGTTGTATCTTTCAGTGTCATCACTTAGTCTTGATTGATTCGTCCATGGGCCATCCGTACACGTCTCCATATCTCCGCTTTTCTCATTCGTTTGGTTATGCTGGAAAGCGTCGTACCTTTTCACGTTCGATTGGGAATAGATCCCCGTGCTGGTCGCTTAGGTCAAAGATATTATCATAGCGAAACCGATCTCAATTCCAAAGAGAATTCTGGATGGATCTTTCTGAAATGTGAATTCTCAGTTCCCTTGGTCCCTTATTGTACATAATTGATTTTGGAAATGGTCGCAAACTAAAAAGCTCTTATTTTCTCTGGGCAGGTACCAAATCTAACTTCCTCAAATTCCGCATGATTTTTTCTTCTTCAAAGTTTGTGTCTAGCTGTGACTTTTACATTTTGACATCTATCGGCACACAAAATGGTTGACAGACAGCCATTTTGGACAGTGCGTGATGGATATTTGCCAACATTGTCTGACTTCCCCTTGGTTTGCGTGCACACAATTTTTAAGACTGATAATATGTCTTTATGTTTATAACAGACTGCCAAGCTACAGATGACGCGTCAGAATCTACTGGATCACCCTGGGGACGAGCAACACAAAATCCAGGACGGTCAGCTTAAACAAAGGTATTATGACAAAAGTTATTCTTTAATTGAAATAAAATATATATACTAAACAAAACTGTAAATGACGATTTGAAATAATCAAATGATTATCAAATATATCGACATTGTACATTTATATCGACAATGTGGGCGATTATCCCCGAGAAAGACCATTCAACTCGGGTAGTACAATCGTGTGACATCATTTATCTATGACGTCATCGATGCGTTATAGCGCATTTATCATAATAAAATATCGTGATATGGACGTATTGCATAACATGGCTTTGTAACACAATCGCTACCAGAATTGTCGTTCCTTAACAGTCGCAACATACCCATGTAAACGTCTCGAGGACTACTTATACTTGACCTCACGGTCAGGGTCAAAGTTTGACGTCGTGCAAAACTATGGCGATAACATCAAAGAAGGACACATAACAGCGTAAAACCATGAAGTGTAATGTGTCACTGATATTGTAGACAAATCACCATCAGTTATCACTGATTATACAGTATATCACCATGTATCTCAAGAACACGTCGGTTGTGAAAGTACAAAATGTAAACACGACGGTTGTCGACCATTTACTAAAATTTAATCTTCCGCAAAATAAAAATTGACGTTTATAACCAGATAAACTAATGTAATCATTTTCCAGATGAACAAACATCCATTTCCAAATAATAATACCAATAACAAACAGAAAAATGATAAAGTACTTAATTATTGGACACAAAAACGTTTTTCAAGAAACTTGAAATGGCGTGAGCCGTTTGTACAGGTGTTGTTGGGGTGCCGGAATGCATTCTGGGAGATTTTGCTAGTTATAGTGAATGGTTATGTAACTGCCCATTGATTGGTTATGTAACTGCCCCCCTGATTGGCTATGTAACTACCCTATTTATTGGTAATGTAACTGCCCTCCTGATTGGCTATGTAACTGACCTCCTGATTGGTAATGTAACTGCCCCCTGCTTGGTTATGTAACTGTCCTCCTGATTTGCTATGTAACTGCCCTTCTGATTGGTTATCTAACTGCCCATTGATTTGCTATGTAACTGCCCTTCTGATTGGTTATCTAACTGCCCATTGATTGGCTATGTAACTGCCCATTGATTGGTTATGTAATTGCCCTCCTGATTGGCTATGTAACTACTCTATTTATCGTTTATGTAACTGCCCTCCTGATTGGTTATGTAACTGCCCCTGATTGGTTATGTAACTGTCCTCATGATTTGCTATGTAACTGCCCTTCTGATTGGTTATCTAACTGCCCATTGATTGGCTATGCAACTGCCCATTGATTAGTTATGTAACTGCCCTCCTGATTGGCTATGTAACTACCCCTGATTGGTTATGTAACTGTCCTCATGATTTGCTATGTAACTGCCCTTCTGATTGGTTATCTAACTGCCCATTGATTGGCTATGTAACTGCCCATTGATTGGTTATGTAACTGCCCTCCTGATTGGCTATGTAACTACTCTATTTATTGGTTATGTAACTGCCCTCCTGATTGGTAATGTAACTGCCCCCTGATTGGTTGTGTAACTGTCCTCATTATTTGCTATGTAACTGCCCTTCTGATTGGTTATCTAACTGCCCATTGATTGGCTATGTAACTGCCCTCCTGATTGGCTATGTAACTACTCTATTTATTGGTTATGTAACTGCCCATTGATTGGCTATGTAACTGCCCTCCTGATTGGTTATGAAACTGCCCTTGATTGGTTATGTAACTGCCCATTGATTGGTTATGTAACTGCCCTCCTGATTGGCTATGTAACTACTCTATTTATTGGTTATGTAACTGCCCTCCTGATTGGTAATGTAACTGCCCCCTGATTGGTTGTGTACTGTCCTCATTATTTGCTATGTAACTGCCCTTCTGATTGGTTATCTAACTGCCCATTGATTGGCTATGTAACTGCCCTCCTGATTGGCTATGTAACTACTCTATTTATTGGTTATGTAACTGCCCATTGATTGGCTATGTAACTGCCCTCCTGATTGGTTATGAAACTGCCCTTGATTGGTTATGTAACTGTCCTCGTGATTTGCTATGTAACTGCCCTTCTGATTGGTTATCTAACTGCCCATTGGTTGGCTATGTAACTACCCTGTTTATTGGTTATGTAACTGCCCATTGATTGGCTATGTAACTGCCCTCCTGATTGGTTATGTAACTGCCCTCCTGATTGGTTATGTAACTGCCCATTGATTGGTTATGTAACTGACTCCTGATTGGTTATGTAACTGCCCCCAGATTAGTTATGTAACTGTCCATTGATTGGTTATGTAACTGACCCCTGCCATATATCTTCTATCGTTATATCAACAGTAAATGACCGACCGAATCACCGTAACTTGTAGTCCGAATCACGGTAAATTGTAGTCCGAATCACTATAAATTGTAGTCCGTATAGTCCGAATCACGGTAAATTGTAGTCCGTATAGTCCGAATCACGGTAAATTGTAGTCCGAATCACTATAAATTGTAGACCGTATAGTCCGAATCACGGTAAATTGTAGTCCGTATAGTCCGAATCACGGTAAATTGTAGTCCGAATCACTATAAATTGTAGACCGAATCACTGTAAATTGTAGACCGAATCACGGTAAATTGTAGTCCGAATCACGGTAAATTGTAGTCCGAATCACTATAAATTGTAGACCGTATAGTCCGAATCACGGTAAATTGTAGTCCGTATAGTCCGAATCACGGTAAATTGTAGTCCGAATCACGGTAAATTGTAGTCCGAATCACTATAAATTGTAGACCGTATAGTCCGAATCACGGTAAATTGTAGTCCGTATAGTCCGAATCACGGTAAATTGTAGTCCGTATAGTCCGAATCACGGTAAATTGTAGTCCGAATCACGGTAAATTGTAGTCCGAATCACTGTAAATTGTAGTCCGAATCACTGTAAATTGTAGTCCGTATCACTGTAAATTGTAGTCCGTATAGTCCGAATCACTGTAAATTGTAGTCCGTATAGTCCGAATCACTGTAAATTGTAGTCCGTATAGTCCGAATCACTGTAAATTGTAGTCCGAATCACTATAAATTGTAGACCGTATAGTCCGAATCACGGTAAATTGTAGTCCGTATAGTCCGAATCACGGTAAATTGTAGTCCGTATAGTCCGAATCACGGTAAATTGTAGTCCGAATCACTATAAATTGTAGTCCGAATCACTGTAAATTGTAGTCCGTATAGTCCGAATCACTGTAAATTGTAGACCGAATCACTGTAAATTGTAGTCCGTATAGTCCGAATCACGGTAAATTGTAGTCCGTATAGTCCGAATCACGGTAAATTGTAGTCCGTATAGTCCGAATCACGGTAAATTGTAGTCCGTATAGACCGAATCACGGTAAATTGTAGTCCGAATCACTATAAATTGTAGACCGTATAGTCCGAATCACGGTAAATTGTAGTCCGTATAGTCCGAATCACGGTAAATTGTAGTCCGTATAGTCCGAATCACGGTAAATTGTAGTCCGAATCACTGTAAATTGTAGTCCGTATCACTGTAAATTGTAGTCCGAATCACTATAAATTGTAGTCCGAATCACTGTAAATTGTATACCGAATCACTATAAATTGTAGTCCGTATAGTCCGAATCACGGTAAATTGTAGTCCGTATAGACCGAATCACGGTAAATTGTAGTCCGAATCACTATAAATTGTAGACCGTATAGTCCGAATCACGGTAAATTGTAGTCCGTATAGTCCGAATCACGGTAAATTGTAGTCCGTATAGTCCGAAAATTGTAGTCCGAATCACTATAAATTGTAGACCGAATCACTGTAAATTGTAGTCCGAATCACTATAAATTGTAGACCGAATCACTGTAAATTGTAGTCCGAATCACTGTAAATTGTAGTCCGAATCACTATAAATTGTAGACCGAATCACGGTAAATTGTAGTCCGTATAGTCCGAATCACGGTAAATTGTAGTCAGAATCACTATAAATTGTAGACCGAATCACGGTAAATTGTAGTCCGTATAGTCCGAATCACGGTAAATTGTAGTCAGAATCACTATAAATTGTAGACCGAATCACGGTAAATTGTAGACCGAATCACGGTAAATTGTAGACCGAATCACTGTAAATTGTAGACCGTATCACTGTAAATTGTAGACCGAATCACGGTAAATTGTAGACCGAATCACTATAAATTGTAGACCGTATAGTCCGAATCACGGTAAATTGTAGTCCGTATAGTCCGAATCACGGTAAATTGTAGTCCGTATAGTCCGAATCACGGTAAATTGTAGTCCGAATCACTATAAATTGTAGTCCGAATCACTGTAAATTGTAGTCCGTATAGTCCGAATCACTGTAAATTGTAGACCGAATCACTGTAAATTGTAGTCCGTATAGTCCGAATCACGGTAAATTGTAGTCCGTATAGTCCGAATCACGGTAAATTGTAGTCCGTATAGACCGAATCACGGTAAATTGTAGTCCGAATCACTATAAATTGTAGACCGTATAGTCCGAATCACGGTAAATTGTAGTCCGTATAGTCCGAATCACGGTAAATTGTAGTCCGTATAGTCCGAATCACGGTAAATTGTAGTCCGAATCACTGTAAATTGTAGTCCGTATCACTGTAAATTGTAGTCCGAATCACTATAAATTGTAGTCCGAATCACTGTAAATTGTATACCGAATCACTATAAATTGTAGTCCGTATAGTCCGAATCACGGTAAATTGTAGTCCGTATAGACCGAATCACGGTAAATTGTAGTCCGAATCACTATAAATTGTAGACCGTATAGTCCGAATCACGGTAAATTGTAGTCCGTATAGTCCGAATCACGGTAAATTGTAGTCCGTATAGTCCGAATCACGGTAAATTGTAGTCCGAATCACTATAAATTGTAGTCCGAATCACTATAAATTGTAGTCCGAATCACTGTAAATTGTATACCGAATCACTATAAATTGTAGTCCGTATAGTCCGAATCACGGTAAATTGTAGTCCGTATAGACCGAATCACGGTAAATTGTAGTCCGAATCACTATAAATTGTAGACCGTATAGTCCGAATCACGGTAAATTGTAGTCCGTATAGTCCGAATCACGGTAAATTGTAGTCCGTATAGTCCGAATCACGGTAAATTGTAGTCCGAATCACTATAAATTGTAGACCGAATCACTGTAAATTGTAGACCGAATCACGGTAAATTGTAGACCGAATCACTGTAAATTGTAGTCCGTATAGTCCGAATCACGGTAAATTGTAGTCCGAATCACTATAAATTGTAGACCGTATAGTCCGAATCACGGTAAATTGTAGTCCGTATAGTCCGAATCACGGTAAATTGTAGTCAGAATCACTATAAATTGTAGACCGAATCACGGTAAATTGTAGTCCGTATAGTCCGAATCACGGTAAATTGTAGTCAGAATCACTATAAATTGTAGACCGAATCACGGTAAATTGTAGACCGAATCACGGTAAATTGTAGACCGAATCACTGTAAATTGTAGACCGTATCACTGTAAATTGTAGACCGAATCACGGTAAATTGTAGACCGAATCACTATAAATTGTAGACCGTATAGTCCGAATCACGGTAAATTGTAGTCCGTATAGTCCGAATCACGGTAAATTGTAGTCCGTATAGTCCGAATCACGGTAAATTGTAGTCCGAATCACTATAAATTGTAGTCCGAATCACTGTAAATTGTAGTCCGTATAGTCCGAATCACTGTAAATTGTAGACCGAATCACTGTAAATTGTAGTCCGTATAGTCCGAATCACGGTAAATTGTAGTCCGTATAGTCCGAATCACGGTAAATTGTAGTCCGTATAGACCGAATCACGGTAAATTGTAGTCCGAATCACTATAAATTGTAGACCGTATAGTCCGAATCACGGTAAATTGTAGTCCGTATAGTCCGAATCACGGTAAATTGTAGTCCGAATCACTATAAATTGTAGACCGTATAGTCCGAATCACGGTAAATTGTAGTCCGTATAGTCCGAATCACGGTAAATTGTAGTCCGAATCACTGTAAATTGTAGTCCGTATCACTGTAAATTGTAGTCCGAATCACTATAAATTGTAGTCCGAATCACTGTAAATTGTATACCGAATCACTATAAATTGTAGTCCGTATAGTCCGAATCACGGTAAATTGTAGTCCGTATAGACCGAATCACGGTAAATTGTAGTCCGAATCACTATAAATTGTAGACCGTATAGTCCGAATCACGGTAAATTGTAGTCCGTATAGTCCGAATCACGGTAAATTGTAGTCCGTATAGTCCGAATCACGGTAAATTGTAGTCCGAATCACTATAAATTGTAGACCGAATCACTGTAAATTGTAGACCGAATCACGGTAAATTGTAGACCGAATCACTGTAAATTGTAGTCCGTATAGTCCGAATCACGGTAAATTGTAGTCCGAATCACTATAAATTGTAGACCGTATAGTCCGAATCACGGTAAATTGTAGTCCGTATAGTCCGAATCACGGTAAATTGTAGTCAGAATCACTATAAATTGTAGACCGAATCACGGTAAATTGTAGTCCGTATAGTCCGAATCACGGTAAATTGTAGTCAGAATCACTATAAATTGTAGACCGAATCACGGTAAATTGTAGACCGAATCACGGTAAATTGTAGACCGAATCACTGTAAATTGTAGACCGTATCACTGTAAATTGTAGACCGAATCACTATAAATTGTAGACCGAATCACGGTAAATTGTAGACCGAATCACTGTAAATTGTAGACCGAATCACTGTAAATTGTAGACCGTATCACTGTAAATTGTAGTCCGTATAGTCCGAATCACTATAAATTGTAGACCGTATCACTGTAAATTGTAGACCGAATCACTATAAATTGTAGACCGAATCACGGTAAATTGTAGACCGAATCACGGTAAATTGTAGACCGTATAGTCCGAATCACGGTAAATTGTAGTCCGAATCACTGTAAATTGTAGTCCGAATCACTGTAAATTGTAGTCCGAATCACGGTAAATTGTAGTCCGTATAGTCCGAATCACTATAAATTGTAGACCGAATCACTGTAAATTGTAGTCCGAATCACTATAAATTGTAGACCGAATCACGGTAAATTGTAGTCCGAATCACGGTAAATTGTAGACCGAATCACTATAAATTGTAGACCGAATCACGGTAAATTGTAGACCGAATCACTATAAATTGTAGACCGAATCACTGTAAATTGTAGACCGAATCACGGTAAATTGTAGTCCGCATAGTCCGAATCACGGTAAATTGTAGACCGAATCACTGTAAATTGTAGTCTGTATAGTCCGAATCACGGTAAATTGTGGTATACAGTGCCATATTCTACAATTTTGCGTATTTATGAAATATGCGAATGAAACGCAAAGTGTAAATATTACATTGATATTTACATGGACTAGCTTTGGTGGACGGTTCGCCTTTACAATTAAACGTGAAACTGATGTGCGAATGGCAATATATATGTATGTACTTTTAAAGAATAGTTTAAGTTGATGACGAGTGTAGTTATCAAGATGTATGGAATTTAAAGGCTTTGGTTATACAAAATTTTGGTTATGTAAAACATCAGTCTTGAACTACACTTAGAACACTGCCTTTGATTATAGCCATATTTATTTAAATATAGCCAATTTACAATTTCTCTAATAAAATTGTGCCAAGCTCATTGTAACGGCATGGCTTCATTGTTTTTATTTACCTCTGTTCTGACCAATTTTTAAATGCAAAATTCCGAAGTTTAGCAAAAGTGGTGTACTTTCTATGTTTTTTTTCATCTTTATGCCAGGGAAATTAATTTGGAAGTTTCGCTGATTTTATAATGCGAGTGATATGATGAACAGAATCTAACACTGTTGTCAAAGCTATATTGAATTTAGTGGTGATCGAGGTCAATAATTTGGTCTGAAACGTGTACGATAGTCTTTGTAACGCGGTAAGAAATTGTTATATATATAGAAATACATTAGAGAGTCCATGGTATAGTTATTTATTGCCGCTGTTAGAGGTCATCCAATCATGATATTGCCTGAAAGTTTGTTTTTTTAATACACGAGTTTCATGGATACAAATTGGATTGGTTTGGATTAATTTCTAACGGTGCGCAGGATTCAGGTCTATTTATGCTGGGAAAAGGAGGATTCGAATCTGTCGCTACCGTATTGATCCACGAACATCCTCTTCATGTACATCCCTGTGCAGGCATCTAGGGACAGTTTTTTCAGAAAACAAGACTGTTGCAAGTGTAATTGATGGTATTTGCTAAAGAGAGCTAGCAAAATCCAAAATAAAACAATCAAGCGCAGCTATATTTAAAAAAAAAAAAAATCAAAAAGAATCTTTGTACTTATCGCATGTCAATAATGTCCGAGTTTGCACTTGTTATATATGTATAGCTACCATCTTAAGAGGGTCCATGGTCCGTCTATCCGTTGACAATTATCGTACACTTTGTCGGTTTTTCTTAAGAAAATACGGTATATATTCGTTGTGCCGTTTTGATTTTGGCTTAATTCGGAAAAACAAAATGGCTGACAGACGGCCATCTTGGATTTTGACAATGAAAGTTTAATATCGCTTAACCTTTAGTTGTGTGGAATAAATCTTTTCCAAAAGTTCATATGTAGGTTACCCCTAGTCTCTTGTTGTGTTCTTTTTACCTAATAACTAATGAGAAAAACAAATAATGTCTGACAGACGTCCATCTTGGATTTTAATAGAGAGAGATGGGGTTTTACAACATAGCACAGGGATATCTAGCAGTGAATTAAAATTTAGAATTGCCATTTTAATGCTCTCTATCATGAACGCTCCTGACTCTTAACTATTACAGTTGGCGTGTAAAAGGAAAATAATCTCATTTAATTTTTGCACTCGCTCTACAAAAAGGATGATAGTAATAATGTTTGTGTTTCAGTGTGAAAGAATTGGTGGAGAAACTGATCGATTTGATGGAGGAGATTAAGTATGAGTCCGAGGATTTGTACGAGGAAGAGAATGAAGACGAGAAGGAAGATTTAGAAAATGTGCAGGTCGAGAGATGACGTGAGGACGAAGAGGAAGATAAAGATTATTTACATGGCAAAAAGAGGACTGAAAGACGAGAGAAGAAAGATAGACAATGTACAACTCGAGAGATGATGACGAGAAAGAAGACAGATCAGAGAAATGACTCTTACAATTTTTTTTTGTTATTACTCTGTATGAATGCATATTAATTAAAGTTCCACTTTATTACATTTTTGCCAGTGAAATACAGTGAAATATCTCGTTGATAAAAGTGTAATTTTTCACTGGTGAAAAATTGCACTTTCACGTGTAAAGAATTACACTTTTTGCAGATTTTAAACCAATCAAAAGTTGACAAATCATAAAGCCCGATACAAAAAAATCCAGAAACCTGATTGGTCGCGACCTTCATTTCCATGGAAGATAGCAAACAATGCAACTTAAATGACCTTATCAGTGATCAAACCCAATCCCCGACCAAGCGTCTTGAAAGTAAAGTTTGACATTAGAAGAGGGTTCGAGTAATCAACAGCGACAGCTAGGTTGCCGCAATATTGTCTGCCGCATAGTAACTTGTCGCAGGTTAAACTATCTCTGAACGTTTTACAGCCAATCTTTTTACATAATTTAAATGTTTTTTTGAAACAGACTTTATTTTATCGCGTACTGCGAAATTATACTGAATGAGTACTGATACGTCCTAGAAGTGCAACGCATTCATAAATGATTCTTCAATAGTGTACACACATAAGTTCTTTATTACTGAAGACACTTGAATATCCTCTATTTATAACATTTTGCAGATGCATGTAATAACGGGCACAGGTATACATACCGCATGTAATAACGGGTACAGATATACATACCGCATGTAATAACGGGTACAGATATACATACCGCATGTAATAACGGGTACAGGTATACTTACCACATGTAATAACGGGTACAGGTATACTTACCACATGTAATAACGGGTACAGATATACATACCACATGTAATAACGGGTACAGATATACATACCACATGTAATAACGGGTACAGGTATACTTACCACATGTAATAACGGGTACAGATATACATACCGCATGGAATGACGGGTACAGATATACTTACCACATGTAATAACGGGTACAGATATACTTACCACATGTAATAACGGGTACAGATATACTTACCACATGTAATAACGGGTACAGATATACTTACCACATGTAATAACGGGTACAGATATACTTACCACATGTAATAACGGGCACAGGTATACTTACCACATGTAATAACGGGCACAGGTATACATACCGCATGGAATGACGGGTACAGATATACTTACCACATGGAATGACGGGTACAGATATACTTACCACATGTAATAACGGGTACAGATATACTTACCACATGTAATAACGGGTACAGATATACATACCGCATGGAATGACGGGTACAGATATACTTACCACATGTAATAACGGGTACAGATATACATACCGCATGGAATGACGGGTACAGATATACATACCGCATGGAATGACGGGTACAGATATACTTACCACATGTAATAACGGGTACAGATATACATACCGCATGGAATGACGGGTACAGATATACTTACCACATGTAATAACGGGTACAGATATACATACCACATGTAATAACGGGTACAGATATACATACCGCATGGAATAACGGGTACAGATATACTTACCACATGTAATAACGGGTACAGATATACATACCGCATGTAATAACGGGTACAGATATACTTACCACATGTAATAACGGGTACAGATATACTTACCACATGTAATAACGGGTACAGATATACATACCACATGTAATAACGGGTACAGATATACTTACCACATGTAATAACGGGTACAGATATACATACCGCATGTAATAACGGGTACAGATATACATACCGCATGGAATGACGGGTACAGATATACTTACCGCATGGAATGACGGGTACAGATATACATACCGCATGGAATGACGGGTACAGATATACATACCACATGTAATAACGGGTACAGGTATACTTACCACATGTAATAACGGGTACAGGTATACTTACCACATGTAATAACGGGTACAGATATGTAATAACGGGTACAGATATACCCACATGTAATAACGGGTACAGATATACATACCTCGGGTACAGATATACTTACCACATGTAATAACGGGTACAGATATACATACCACATGTAATAACGGGTACAGATATACATACCACATGTAATAACGGGTACAGATATACTTACCACATGTAATAACGGGTACAGATATACTTACCACATGTAATAACGGGTACAGATATACTTACCACATGTAATAACGGGTACAGATATACATACCACATAACGGGTACAGATATACATACCACATGTAATAACGGGTACAGATATACATACCACATGTAATAACGGGTACAGATATACATACCGCATGGAATGACGGGTACAGATATACTTACCACATGTAATAACGGGTACAGATATACATACCGCATGGAATGACGGGTACAGATATACTTACGGGTACAGATATACATACCGCATGGAATGACGGGTACAGATATACATACCGCATGGAATGACGGGTACAGATATACTTACCACATGTAATAACGGGTACAGATATACTTACCACATGTAATAACGGGTACAGATATACATACCGCATGGAATGACGGGTACAGATATACTTACCGCATGGAATGACGGGTACAGATATACTGGAATGACGGGTACAGATATACATGTAATATGGAATGACGGGTACAGATATACATACCGCATGGAATGACGGGTACAGATATACTTACCGGGTACAGATATACATACCACATGGAATGACGGGTACAGATATACATACCGCATGGAATGACGGGTACAGATATACATACCGCATGGAATGACGGGTACAGATATACATACCGCATGGAATGACGGGTACAGATATACATACCGCATGGAATGACCGGTACATATATACTTACCGCATGGAATGACGGGTACAGATATACATACCGCATGGAATGACGGGTACAGATATACATACCGCATGGAATGACGGGTACAGATATACATACCGCATGGAATGACCGGTACATATATACTTACCGCATAGAATGACGGATACAGATATACTTACCGCATGGAATAACGGGTACAGACATACTTACCGCATGGAATGAGGGGTACAGATATACTTACCGCATGGAATGACGGATACAGATATACATACCGCATGGAATGACGGGAACAGATATACATACCGCATGGAATGACGGGAACATATATACATACCGCATGTAATGACGGATACAGTTATACTTACCGCAAGGAATAACGGGTACAGACATACTTACCGCATGGAATGAGGGGTACAGATATACTTACCGCATGGAATGACGGATACAGATATACATACCGCATGGAATGACGGGAACAGATATACATACCGCATGGAATGACGGGAACATATATACATACCGCATGTAATGACGGATACAGTTACACTTACCGCAAGGAACAACGGGTACAGACACACTTACCGCATGGAATGAGGGGTACGGATATACTTACCGCATGGAATGACGGATACAGATATACATACCGCATAGAATGATGGCTACAGATATACTTACCGCATGGAATGACGGGTACATATATACTTACCGCATGGAATGACAGGTACATGTATACTTACCGCAAGGAATGACAGGTACAGACATACCGCATGGAATGACGGGTACAGATATACTTACCGCATGGAATGACGGATACAGATATACTTACCGCATGCAATGACGGGTACAGATATACTTACCGCATGGAATGACAGGTACAGATACACTTACCGTATAGGATGACAGGTACGTGTATACTTACCGGAAGGAATGACGGGTAGATATAATTACTGCATGGAATGACAGGTACGGATATACTTACCGCATGGAATGACAGATACAGATACACTTACCGTATTGGATGACAGGTACATGTATACTTACCGCAAGGAATGACGGGTACAGATATAATTACTGCATGGAATGACAGGTACGGATATACTTACCGCATGGAATGACAGGTACAGATATACATACCGTATTGGATGACAGGTACATGTATACTTACCGCATGGAATGACGGATACAGATATACATACCGCATAGAATGATAGGTACAGATATACTTATCGCATGGAATGACGGGTACAGATATACATACCGCATAGAATGATAGGTACATATACACTTACCGCATGGAATGACAGGTACATGTATACTTACCGCAACACATAGAATGACGGTACAAGTATCCCCAACACATGCAATGACGGTCGAGTATCCCCAACACATAGAATGACGGTACAAGTATCCCCAACACATAAAATGACGGTACAAGTTTATCCCCAACACATGTAATGACGGTACAAGTATCCCCAACACACGGAATGACTGGTACAAGTATCCCCAACATATGGAATGACGGTACAAGTATCCCCAACACACAGAATGACTGGTACAAGTATTCCTAACACATGCAATGACGGTACAAGTAACCCAAACACACGGAATTACGGTACAAGTATCCCCAACACATGGAATGACGGTACAAGTATCCCCAACACATGGAATGACGGATTCAAGTATCCCCAACACATGGAATGACTGGTACAAGTATCCCCAACACATGGAATGACGGTACAAGTATCCCCAACACATAGAATGACTGGTACAAGTATCCCCAACACATGGAATGACGGAACAAGTATCCCCAACACATCGAATGACGGTACAAGTATCCCTAACACATAGAATGACGGTACAAGTATCCCCAACACATAGAATGACGGTACAAGTATCCCCAACATATGGAATGACGGTACAAGTATCCCCAACACATGGAATGACGGGTACAAGTATCCCCGACACATGCAATAATGGTTCAAGTATCCCCAACACATGTAATGACGGTACAAGTATCCCCAACACATGTAATGACGGGTACAAGTATCCCCAACACATGTAATGACGGTACAAGTATCCCCAACACATGGAATGACTGGTACAAGTATCCCCAACACATGGAATGACGGTACAAGTATCCCCAACACATGGAATGACGGGTACAAGTATCCCCAACACATGTAATGACGGTACAAGTATCCCCAACACATGGAAT